ATGTTCATTGAAAGTAATAACTTAAAGATAAGACTGTTAACATTGTATGATCATTGAATTTTAATAAAAATTATATGAGCAATTGATAATCTTAAAGGTAAAATCATATATCTTAGGCTCTCCAAGCAGTGGTCAAAAGTATTTTTCTTTATAGTTCTTGTTTACAACAATTAAATTTATTTTTTCACGCATTCCTTAAATTTAAGCAATTAAATTAATATTTTCCTAGTATTTAAGGTACAATTCTTGTAGGATAATAATTTAGAAACTTGATTTAAAATATTTTTATTAATTTTTGATGAGTATACTTGTCCACGACAATTGTCAACGTAGGTACTAACATGCATAACCTATGACAATCTTAAGAACTACAATGAAATAATATGAAAACATAAATCTTTATATACAATGTCATTTTGCATTGAAATAAAATATATAATAAAAATAAATATCAGAAACTAACATAATATTTTTAAAATTTTAAAAATTAAAGTGTTTGACACTTATTGTCTGAGAAATTAAAATAAAGGTTTAGTCCTTGTTCTTTTCTTTTAAAATAATTTGTTTCAATAAGTTTTATGAACAAATTTATTTTCATACTACTTTTGTAATAAATGCAAAAAAGTTTATTGAATAAATGTTTAATTAAGTTGTTATTCAAACATAAGCTTAATCTAATTTTATTTTTCTTTGAACTTATCAATTATAGCTTAAATTTTTGTCTTGCAACAAATTAGGTGATAGTAGTAATTAAGCATTGTCTTTCTTGCTTAAAATACTGCACACAAGTTATATGCATGCCTTTTCTCTCTTTATTAAATTTTTAGGTTAATTATTTTTTTATTTCTTCTATTGTCATTATGTAATATTGGTTTCTTATTATATATTTTTTAGAATTTAGTCTTTTAAATTCTTTAATTATTACAATCAAGTTTTTATCGGTTATCATAATTCACCTAAGCCAAGAAAATTTTATATTTTCCTCATCCAAACCCTAAACTTACTTTCCTATAATTTCTTTTTCAAATTTTATTTGAATATTTCAAATTACTATTTTTTTTATTATAGACTTGTTTTAAATTCCTATTTTTTTTAGTTTAAGCATCAAATTTGTTAAAATTTGTACTTCATCCTAAATCAATAATTATTACAAAAAGCTATTGATTATTATTTTATTCACTTTCACACTTTTTCCCCCTTTAATTATTACAAAAATCAACAATTTTAATAATATAATCATTTGATTGGATGATAATATAAAATATTTACATAATCAATATATTTAATTGAAGTTTTTTTTAAAATATTATCAGTGAAATTTATATTTTTATAAAATTTTATACTAATAGTTATTATTAATAAAATTAATTTTATCAATTTGCACATAGTAGAATTAAAACTAATTATTCACAAAACTTATCTGAATGAAACAATATTAAATTTTTTAAGCAATTGTAAATGCAAAATACTAAAAAAAAAAAAAAACATAGCTCAAACCTTGAAAAAAAAAAAGATCAAGTTTCAAACCTTCTGGGATTAAAGTTCCCTACTATTGGAAATGATGAAAATGTCTATTTTAGTATAGGTAATCGCTTTTTTCTTTTGAAATACATGCTCGAATTAACAAGTATTTTATTTTCACATTGATTAACTTGTACCTTTTAATAACTATGACAACTAGATAGATTTTCAAAGTTGAAAGTATGTGATATTGTAAAATTGATAAAAAAAAAATAAAAAAAATTCTATGATATCTTCATGTATGTATGGAGGGTCATAAAACCCTATCTCAACCAATAAAGTAAAAGTTTTAGTTTTAATAACGTCATGTTATTTTATTGATCATTTACTTTATAATTGAATCTTTATTATTTTTACAAGTTAATCCCTTCGAATTATTGTAAATTTTATATTAGAGTTAGTTTCATGACTATTTACCCTACCAGCAAACTATTTGGATAACTATCCCCAAATCCTCCAAGTTCACTAGATAAAAGATCATGAAAATTCTCTTCATCTAATAAACAAAATCACAAAGTTCTCTTCATCCAATAGTTGGTCAATTGCTGGAGTCATGATAGAAAAGGTAGCATAAAATGACACCTTGCAAATTAAACACTTCAGTTATATATCACCTTGGTCAATCTAAATCAAGGGAGTGAGTGAGGAGGAGTGTTATTATGAACCTCTAATATATGTTTTTATATCACATGTGGATGATATTAATGGAGTTGGATTCAAGAGTTGATTGAATTGAAAATTGAAACCTGATTTTTGGGGTGTAAAATTTAAAGCTTAACACACAAATTGAATGAGGTTAGATAAAAAAAAATGAACAAGAATTTAAGGATTTAACTTGTTAGAAGGATATCGGTTAGGTAGCAAATATTAAAACTAAATAATTTTTACAGACTAAAATATAAGATTTAACTAATAAACTATTATCAAGATGACATGGTATAACTATCACCATAAATGTTGAATATATTATATTACAAATTACGGGACGTGATTTATAATATATCGAAGTACAAAGCAACATTTAAAAAATAATGTAACAACATGGGTAGTAAGAGAACGGTGAGCGTTTTAAAAAAAATATTTTTTTAAAAATAAAAATTTTCTAAAAATTTAAAAAGTTATCACTGATGAAGAAAAAATTGAATTTTTTTTTAAAAATAATATGATATTTGAAGCTAAAAATAAGTTTGAAAGTTATTTATAGAAAAGTATTAGCACTTTATCATATTTGTTTAAATAACAGTTACCTTAAATTAATTGTGTAAATTTATTTTAATTTTAAAAAATTTATTTAATTTCAAAATACTATTTTTACTATATTTAATTTCACGGATACCATGTGAGCTGTGTGCCATGTGTAAGCATGATCATTGCATGTGTGTGAATGTGCGTGTTAGCGCCGTTGTATTGTGTTGTGAATGATTCAGCGATACACTGAGGGTGTGGAAGATGAGGACGGTAGAAATACTTTGGAGAAGAGGGAGTGGTGGTGACACCGCTGTGGAACGGGTGCACTACGGGCCACATACTCTCTTTCTGACTAGACCTTTGACCACTACCTTTGCTGATCGACCCACGACTGCCCACATGGTATCCGTGAGGCGGGGGTAACCGGCGACCATTTATAGTAAAAATCTGTGATCATAGTGCCACAGTGAGTGTGACTGGCGTGCATATGCATGAGTTTATGTATTGTACTTATGGATGTGATAACGCTACTTGTAATTGTGTTTGTTTAATATATTGGAAATGTTTTGGAGGTGAGACTGTACGTTGATTGTGTGTTTTTGGGTAGTGTAAAGTACTCACCTTTACATTCATTTTCATGTAATCAAGACGATCAACATCGGACTCAGTGAAGGGGTGGATGGAACTGTTATAAGACTTAAGATATTATTTTGGAAAACTGTTGTATTTGAATAAGTCTTGTAGCAATTGTTTGATATAATTTGTAACCCCTTTTTTTATTTGAAATGGTTGATGAAACTTGAATTAAAAATGAAAATTTTATTATTTCAAAAATTTGCGAAATTTCTTATTTATTGAAATTAAATTTAAGGTGTTACATGGATTTAGTAATTTGACTTATTCTATGTTGTGTATACTAATTATATTTCAAAAGATAATAGAAACTACAGTGCTATATGCTTTTATATGTGTATATCAAGTCTAAGGTTTAGGATGTCACAGAAGATATTGATCTAAGTCATGATCTTATTAACTTCGTTGCCTCTATTTTATGATAATTTTTGTGATACCATAATGTATGGTAAGTCTTCTATTACAGTCAAAGTTGTCAAAGAGGTTTTGATGATGAAGGGATAGTAGAAATCATTATCTAACCTGCAGATGGATTGTTTGTGACAAGAGGACGTAGCTAAGAAAGAAGATCAGGAAATAAAAGAAAAAGTACATTTAAATTTAAAGTCATCCGTCTCTGAAGTGTTTTTATTGTCACCAAGCAAGGCATATTTAAAGGATATGTCTTGGAAGAAGAAAATAAAAAATTCTGCTACTATAATAGTTGAAAGTTCTGAAAATAGTGATGCTAACTCTACCTTGATAGTTACTACTAGTGACTTAGAAATTGAGTGAATCTTATATACTGGCACATCTTTTCATATGACACTTAATAGACATTTGAACTTTGGAAGCAACACTTACATGAAAAACTTTGTTATCGAATATACACAAGGTATTAAAAAAAATAAAGACAATTGCCAATAGGTGTCTGAGGTTATGGCTAGAAAGGAAAAAAGATTACTTTAATTTTTATGTAAAAGAAGCACTAAGAAATTATTTTTATAAAAGGTTACTTATTCAAGCAATTTGAGTAAAAGTTTTGGTTAATAAAGGTCAAAAGTTTTACTTTTTATTCTAGCTAGGTCTCATGCTCCCCATGTGTCCAGATCTTCTCAAGATTTTCTATTATTATTTTGTGAAGCCTAACTTCCTGGCTAATTCATGGAGATTAACTTGCTAGGCAGAATTTGGGTAATTATTTTAGGTCAACTAGGACTTTTCTTCATTTTTCAGTAGGCTAATTCATGAATCCAAGATTCAAAAGAAAAATATTACAGTTCACAAGATCCAGCATCCAAGGTTCATTTTAACCTTTAGAAAAAAAGATAAATTTTCGTAGGAGTAATAATGTCTCATAACTCAAAAACATTATTAGAAATTTTCTAGATAACTCAAGACTTAAGTAACTACCTTATAGGAAATACTGATTACATTTTTTTTTCAAAGAATTTTTGTATCTTGAATCTAAGATTTTTTTTAGCTTTATCTTTCAAATTTATAATACGTATCTAATTCAAACTAAACCTCTATAATCTAGAATTTCAAACATCGTAGCTTAAAATACATATAATGTAAACGATCTTAACAAAATAAATTAAAAAATGAAATTTTTTTTTAACTGCAACAACAATTTTTGCATTGACACTTATAAGCAATCATAGAACTTGAGTCATGCTTATCATACTAAATCAGCAATTCAAAATTAATTTCTTCCTTTTATGAATAAATTTGTATATATCACACTAAGTTTGGCTATTGTCTTCTAACTCCAATGTAGCTTTACTTCTTCACCCTCCAGTGAAAAACACTACTAACATACTTTTTTTTGTTTTATTTTTTCCAATTAATTTTCCATTTCACATTCTATACTTCAGTTGCTGTGATTGAGAAAGACGAAATTTTGTTGGGGTTCTTGCTAAACCTGTTCTTTAGTTTTTGAGCTAAGTTGAGCTTAACAAACGCTTCCTCCCTTTTGGGGCGGTTTGCATAGAGTATCCAGAGAACAAGACAAAGCAAGACACCAATTGAAATTAGGCCAAATCCTACGTTGATAACCTTAAGATAATGGTTTAATGGAGGACAGTGACGTGTAGTAATTTCTTTGAATGTTTCTCTGACAAAATTGCAGTTCTGAAGGCTAAGTAAAAGTGGAGTATAATGCTCAAAAGCATAGCTTTCGTTAACTGCTGCTACTAACTCCAAGTAAATCTCTGGGGTCACTCTCCCAACAGTGGTGCATATACCATATTCAGATATCTCGCATACGTACTTCTTCCAAACCTGAAATTCCAAAAATTTAAATCTTTTAACATACTTTTTTCTTTGTATAAAGAAAAAGTTTAATATCACAACACACATAATATTTTATTTAAATTTAATTTTTAAGCAAAATCTTTAAGAAATATTAAATTAATAGTAGCACGATATGATCACTGATCAGAAACGTATAGCCATTTCTAGAGAATTGGATCCTCTGTCAGTATATTATTATTAGAGTACATCTTGAACACTAATACCAGCATATTGCTTATTTTAAAAATAATAGACATAAGCATTTTAATACAATAGATTATTAAGATTTTACTAAATTTTGTGCAATGAAATTCTTCCTCTGAATTTCCAATTTTATTGTTACATGAATGTATTTAGACCAAGCAATCACTAATAAAAAATTGGATAATTTTAAATTTTCTTATGTCATATTTTTACAAGACCGATTAAAAAGAAAAAGACTATTGAAAATGATGAAAACAATAAATAAAAGAAAATAAAGGAATAATTTACTCTTCTTAATTAGTTAAAAATGTGTATTAATTAATTAAAAACAAGTTTTATATAATAGAACAATCGTGATATTAATAAAATTAATATAATTTTTTTACATGGCGTTCTCATTAAAAAAAACAAGCTTTCAAAATAATTTTTAATTTGTTATAGAATAGTATAGATGCTTAGATAAATTTTCATTAAACAGGTGAATGATCTACACATGTTGGATTGGAGAGTGGAGAGACACAGAGAGTTATATATATATATATATATATATATTGGTGTTGGATTTTAACTGTGATCTCTACAGAATTACTTTTTTGGTTTTAATTCCTGCATTTTAAAATTATTAATTTTAATTTTTAGTCATTATTAAGTAATGGCATGATTTAATCAAACTTTGTTGTAAGTTGATTTTTGTGTGTTGTATGTCATTTGGTAAAATCACATAAATGAAAGGGATTAAAATCAATAGTATAAAAAAAGAAGTAAAATTAATAAATGTGTATTTTGGGAGATAAAAGGATTTAAATTATTGATCCAAAAAACATACCGATGAAGCATTGGCAGAGGAAACTTCTTGAGTGGTACACTTGCGTTGTCGAAACTGAGAATCAAAGGGGTAGCACAAAGGTGGCATTGCAGGTCCAGATTGATTGTAGTAATTGATGGTTCCTTGTGATGGATTTGCATCTGCAGTATTATATATGAACCGATTCACAACACTCACAATATTCGTAACCACTTGTTTACTCTGAAAAAGTGTCTTGTTTGTGGTTCTCTGATCAACACATGGAAGGATATTGCTAAGAGCAGATTCTGAATGTGGATTCTCCACCCATTCCCCCATGGCCATGCAGGTGTCACAAATTGCACTGTAATAACATAATATACTCCACTCATTGTTACAAAAATTGCACAATATATGGATAGTTGAATCACAAAAGCAATTAAGAAAGGGTATAGCTAGTTCATTTTTCAAAGCAGGTCAAATTGATCTCTCATAGAAATACCAAAATCAATGCCTTACTTGTTAAGGATCATAAACACTCCACACAGAATGAATGTTGTTGCCACCAGTAACCATCCGCTGATAACAAATCTGCAATGAAATTTTGGTATTCAATATTGAAATATTTATTAAAATGATCCTTAAGACACTAGCAATATAAGCAAAGGTAATATCATAACTTACACGAGGATTGCATGCTGATATCCAAGAACAGAGAGTACTGAAGAACACGTAATAGAAAATCATGAACTAGAATATAATGATACAAATGCAATTAGCTCAAGGTGTTTAAGATGTTATCATCAATGCATACCTAACCCAATTAGAGCCAGGAGAAGCATTACTGCTGCTATCATTATCAAAGCTAGACGCCTGCAAAATGGGAGGAGTTTTAGCATATAGATGCAAATATTAAAATTTCTAAATTGAGATTGAACAGTGTAAGTTTGTGAGATCATACAAAGCATTGAATACTTTTTGTATTTTATGAGAATTTTCATTTGTCTTGTGGGAGAGTGTAGCTGCTGCAGCATTTAGATCCATATTCAAATTGTCAATATCATCCATTATATCAGATGGAAGAAGCATCTCTGCCACATTGATAGATTTTGCAAGCGAAAGATACTGTGTGACATTTCTCAGAGTTTGCACTGTGTAGTCAGACTGATTGACTACATAATGGAGGGTATCCACGGCCTCACTATGGAATTTATCCTGCCCAAAAGAAAGTACAATACATCCAGTCCTGGGGAATTAAGAGAGCAGAGAAAATGTTAGATTTACCAGTAAAGCATCGATTTTGGAATAATAATAAAAGATTCCAAGTGAAACAGCATTTTAGGTTCTTGATCTAGACCACCACAACTGACACAAAAGGAGACTGGAATTTGAAGAAACAAGCAACATGATTTTTGTCAATGGACAATTTTTTGGTAGATATAATATTAGGGGCAAGGGATGGTACTTGATTCAAACTCGTCAAGATCCAACAGTGGATTTGTCATGGATGAAAATTTAAGCTTTCACTTGTAGAATAAAAATGAGTCATAAAATTTCATAGCAATTGAACGATTTTATTACATCAAAATATCATCAACACCGGTATGTATTATGAAATTATTAGAAGCATTCACGTTTATGAGAGAGATACACTGCATTTAATACTTGGTAACCAATCATGATTATAGATGATTAGACAACCAACTTGATACGTTTATGAGTAAAAGAACAAAGGAACAGGAGCATGAGCATGAGGAAACAAAGCACACTGAAAGAAGATAACAAAGTACATTAAAACCAAAGTTGAGAGAATTACGCTGCAACACAGGTGAATAACAACAATAACATAAAACATATTCTTTGTTGGTTTGATCCTTTATCCTTGATGTTAATCCCCCATCCACAGCATAGATGAATCACAAGTGCGAAGCCAAACGAAATAAACCACAGAACAGCAAGGATGAAACCAGCTGCACCAGTGAATCCCACTGACTGAACATATAATGGTTAAAAACTGATTTAGTTGAAGTGAACACCAAATTTGGAATTGGAAGCTGTTAGGAACAAGAGAGGCAAAACAATCTGCTGAAAGAAAAACAACGTCCCAATGGAAAAGAAAATGCAAGGAAATTTCAAGTTATTATGATTATAATGTACAAAGAACCATACTAGCGTGTGGCATGTACAAGTAGAAATATACTGATATTAAATTAAATATGTTGAACCAGAACATCAACATAGATCAATGATCCAGCGTAGGAAAATGAAACCATTGAACTTACGGCCCAATAATGCCGATTTGCAATGTCCCAACCTCCTCGGTAAAGTCGAAATCGCCGTAGATAGTCAGGTCTATTGGTCCTGTTTGCTGCAAGCACAAGGGTACCCCCAGTTCTTGAACCTTGTGCTTGTGCTACTTGCGAGACTTCATTCTTCCATGCACCTAAATTCTCTTCCCCTGTAAGCAACACAGTATATTGCACAAATTGAAGAATCTTAATTTTCTTGCTATGGAAGGACTCAGAATTTTCTGTGACATTGCAGAATCATGTGAAACTCGTTCACCATAATCAAAGTTGGCAGAGACATATGCAAGAGGCACCAACCTAGTATAAACTTTATGGGATGTCTGGGCGACCCACTTGGAGGAGATAAAGCTGAAATTAAGGGGAAGATGACTAAGAACAAATAAAGCACATTCAACGAAACACGCTTCATTCCAGCAAGAAATTTCACTCTTCAACTTAAGGAGGTCACATTTTAATTTTGGATTTAAAACAACAAAACAAAACACAGAAACTGAACAAGCATGGTGATGATGATGTTTATATAGGATTTGTGTTATATTCTAAGCAAAGCATGGAACTTTGGAGGATTTATAGAAACAAGTGATTACTGAAGAGAAGGGAGGAGGGTCACATGGTGTGGGGTAGTGACGAAGACTTAACAAAAAATGCGGGTTTGATATTATTAAAAAAAGAAGTTTAATTCATCTTTTCCACTGTGACAAAAACCCATTGAGTTAAGTAAAGCAATGCCGCAACTTTTGCAAATTGATGGATTGCTTTTGTCTTCTCTGCTTTTTTACCTTTTTGTTATATTTTCATTGCTTTTTGTTTTCACACTTTTTTCTTCACTATCTGCAGCTCCACTCACTGTGATCTTGATTTGCAATTGCAATTGATTAAAATGCTCTTTCTTCCCAAAGTCATTGATTTCTTCAACTGACCCACACCAGAACTCAACCTAATGTTGGTGGTTGCAGTGATCGATTGTGCAAATTGTAGGGTCATTCACACTTCTCATTCTTTATCTGTCTAAATTTACTTTTGTTCTAAATTGGATTACCATTTGGCAATGAGCTTTCTTTCACAAAACTGAACCTGAACAATGTTATTCATGAAACAGTCACTTAATTTCCCACATTAATATTCAAATTTTGATTAAGTTTTCTAAATTTTGTCATATAAACTTGAACAAGTAGCAACTACTATCTATGGTATAAAAAAAATAAAAAAAAGTTATGTCTATTTGTTTGTACATAAAAGGGTATATATTTATCCATTTAAGTTAAATAAGATACTACTTATAACAAAGCACTTTCTCTGAGTGTTTATCATAAAGCTACATTCTCTAAAACTCAAATTAGAAAACAATAAATTAAATTAAAATAAATTTACATAGATTAAAAAATTGATGAAGACTAAATTTACCAAATTCTTAAAGTAAAATAATTTAATTGGCTTCAACAAAATTAGGAGACAAATTAATTATAATTAATATTAGAGTACAAAAAATGTAATGAATTTAAGTTTTACCATAAAATTATTTATAATATATAATTTTAAATATAAACCACTTATTTTTTAAGAAATTAATATTACAAATATAAAATCATATTACTGAATTTATATTCTCTCAAATATTCCAATATTGAACGTTGCCTAGTGTTAGGGGTTCTTTTAAGTTTCTTAATATGAATTTTTTTGAAAATGATTTTTAAGAAATAAAAATTTTGGGGAAAGTTTTTTTAAATGTGTCTTTCAATAGAATATTATTATTAGAGGGATGGTAATTTGGGATTCTTATAAAAGTATAAAATTCAAGTTATACTCAAAAATTATTTTTTAAGATAAGCAACACACTTTTTAAGAAACTTCTTGTTATTAATTAAAATTTATAAAAATTATGTAGGTTTAATTCTTTCTCATTTTTAATTTAATATTTTTTCATATTTTTATAGTTCTTAATAAATTTTAGTCAATTATAAGGAATATGTTAAAAATAGTGTGTTAGAGAATTATTATTAGCATTTATCAAATTCTTAAAATCTTTTAAACTATCAAACATGTTATAACATTTTCAAAACTTATAATTCAAATAAAACATATTTTCTAAAAAAATAAAATTCTTAGACACTAAAAAATTCTACCTATCAAAATGTTCTTGCAGGGTGTCCTAATGTTCATCACTTTCGGGTCGATTACTAACTAATAAGAAGAATTCAATAAAATGTTTGTTTGGTTTGAGCTTGAGTAAAATTAATCTTAATGAAATTATCTTTGAAGTGCTAAATATATTTTAGATATGTATATAATTTACTTTGAATATATATATATATATATATATATATATATTAAAGTGTATTTTAAATTAGGAAGTGGGAGAGTTTTATTCTCTAACGATAAAACAAATAAGCCCAAAAAATAAGGCATTTCTTTCTTTGTCGCAAGAGAAACGATGTAGCACGGTGATGTGATCCTTTTGCAAACTTATTTATGAGTTATACCAACATCGTAACGCAACAAATAATTTTTTTTGTCTTAATTATATTTTTTAATCTTTTAATTTAAATTATATAATATTATTTTGTTAAGAAAAAACATAAACTAGATTTACTTATTTTTAAAATAAAAATATATACCAACAAAAAATTTAGATGAATTGAATAATTCATGACTTAAATTAAAGATATCAAAATATAATTAAATTTAATGATTTTCACTTAGCAAAACATAATGAATTGTCATTAGGTCCAACGTAACAGATCCATGATTTCATAGCTAAGAAGTTAGAAGAGAATTAAAGAAGTTAAGCGTGGGTCCCATTTTATTATGATACGGCGCCTTAGTTTGCGGTATTAGTCGAATTGGTATGTGATAAATTTTCGTTTTTTAGATTACTAATAAATAATTCTTGTACCGGAAGAGTATGATTAAGATAAATTAATTTTTTAAACAAAAATTTTAAATATATTATGTGGCTATTTAAGTTTTTTTGGGTAAAGAAGAAAAGAAAAAATATTAAAAAACTATAAAATATGAAAATTATTTAGAAGTTTAAAAAATGTGTCTAAAAGATTATTTAAAAAGTAAAAAAAATACTTGATAAAGGTGTCAAATAAACTAATTTGTTAGTTATTAAATTAACATCAAGAACAATAAAATATATGAATATTTTAAAAAATTGATAAGATGATAAATTTCTTGCAGAATAAAATACATTTTAAGAGAGATAAATTTTAATATTTTTGGTAATAAATATTTGTGTGTAAGTGTACCTATTGAATAATAATAAATAGTACTTAAATTAAGTTCTAAAATATCGATCTATGGAGTTTGTTTCAATTACTAAGATTATCGTTTGAACTTAGACAGTGCATAAGAGAATAAAATTATAAAATACTTAAATTAAGAAGAGTATTAAAAAGAAAACAATGCAACCTTTAACACAACTATTTGAGATGAGTCCAGGGCTCTTTACACTTTTTTATATTTACTTTTAATCTAATATCAATTATGTTTTCTTTAGGATTGCTAATTACTCTTACTAATATTACTAATACCTAATAGTTATGTAATGTTAGTAATATTTTTCCTGAGTTATTACCCACAATAGTCATGCAAGGCAAAAAAATAGAGAAAGAATAAATAATTTATGAATTTGTCAATTTAATAACTGATTGAAAGAGAAAAACTAAGCTTAGTTCACTTAATTCTTTGCCTTTGTTTTATCCTATAGTTTCATTAACTACATGTGGTATGGTCACTTACAGTATAATTAATTATGATATGTTAAGAGTTGTTGATTTTGAACATATAAACATAAACTCCCTAGGATAAAACTCAATCAAGAAAAGGAAATTGAAATTGTCATTAATATAAAATTCACATAAAGTTATGCAAATGATCCACTATAGCCCTAACTATGAATATAACTACTCATAATAATATAAACAAAGTAAGCAAATGTAAAGAAATCCATATTTGTTTCAAATAGAAAAACAAACTAAAGGAATCTCAAGAGGAAGAAATGAGAAGAGTTTTTGTTTCCAATATGTACTATTGATCACTTACTCAGACTCTAGAGAGGTAGTGTATATCTTCACCCATAATCTTCACTCCCAAACAATTTCAAGAGTTGTCAAAAATCAGCCTTGCCAAGGCTCTTTTTTTCGCAAGTCTACTTACTCCTTAAATAAGGTTCTCAAAATCATAAAAAATATTTTAATTTGAATCGCCAGATACGAAGCATAGTTGTGCATGCCTATAAGCATGTCATCGAAGCACCCACATTGAGGTTGATAAGCAGGGGTGTGCTTCCTACCTTGAATTTTATGTAATTGTGGCAAAAAATTCTTAATAATGCATTGGTATACTCTTTATGCAAAAGTACAACAAATAAAAATAAATCAGTGCAAAACCCTCATCAAATAATGGGCAAACATATAAAAATAATCTATAAAACCTTGCAAAATATAGGCTTATCAATAAGTTTCACCACTTCTAAGCAAATAGATTCCAAAATCATCCTATGATAACTATTCAATATGGCCAAGTTAAGACTTCAAAAGATTGCTTTCAATTCAGTAGAAAGAAGAGACTTAATATCATTAAAAGAGGTAAACATTGTTAGCTTTACCACTACTGTCTCGTATAACATGACTATAACCCATATGATCCATTATACAACCATCATCCACATTAATTTCACTGTACTTGGTAAATGGTGGATCCTAGGACATCTCTCGAAAGGAAGTGAGTTTGAGGACTAATTTATTTAAAATTCGCATAATATAATCATTCTTAGATTGATTAATGAAATTCCAAACATGATATATACTCCATTTCTTCTCATCAAAGAACATATTATTCCTCTAATGCCAACGCTAACAAATAATTGAAAAATATAAAGTACCCTATGTCGAACTAAGGTAAAAATCTAAGTGATAGCAGGGTCATCAAAATTACAGTGAGGAAATGACACCCTAAGTGAATCAAACTTCTTTAGAGTAAGGGAAATCTTTGATACAATGGTTAATATCTTTAAGCTCATGAAAACACCTAGGAAAAGAGCCTGAAGAAGTAAACTCATAATGATGATGCAAAACATTGGTGGAAAAAAATCTATGACAAATAAGTCAAATGAAAAATAAAACTTTCTCTAATATTGAAAGCTTCCAAACTCAATCAACATATGAAATTGGTAAATGATTGGTTCTGAAATCACTGAGATAAGCATAAATTGTCTTTGCAGAAGAAGTCTTTTTTGTACCTCTCCAATATCATTGATTTTTAATATTTATGATTGTTGACCCAAGAAGCTGAGGTATATGGACTTTGATGTGTTGCATGATACAAGTGTTGAGTTGATCCAATTTTCAAGGGCCATGAACAAAACAATTTACTAACTTTAAGGTTTGTATTTGAGATGTCACTACACCATTTACACTTTTTAAAGTAGTCACATGTAAAGTAAATAATATAACTTCTCTCTCAAGGTAACTTTAGAGTGCAGTTAGTATGTAATTGCTTTTCAAAACTGACTTTGG